AATTAGAGGGTCTCCAAGGGCTGGACTGGGTGAAGTGTCCAACATGTTCCATTTTTCAGCACTCTTGTCATGTGGATGGTAACATGAAACTGTACAGATACAAGTCATCAGGAAGGTAGTGTTAAGTTCATATTGCTATTACAAAAAATTAACATTCTATGGTGACTGTATGTGTTTGATTATTTTTCATAATACTTTCTAGTGCTTTCCCAGTACATGTAAGCATTCAACTTCTTAACCCTTTAAGCCCCAATATCCACATACAAATTCTCCAAACTGATCTCCATACATTTCCTTTACGCATGAATTGAGAGAATTTGATAGAAGATCAGGGCACTTTCCCTTAAGTAATCATTTTATTAATTCTCATAACCTAATTGCTTGACATTGTATGGATATTGTTAGGAGAAAATTGACGTTACTCACTGTTGGGACTTAAAGGGTTAAAGCAAAAGTTTTCCTGAGTGAGGGTTACTTCTTTAAATTGGCAAGCTACATTTAGTCTACAAATAATTCATACTTGGCATTGATACTTGTCTTGTAGTTTGACATAAACTTTTTTAAGTCATAAGTATGATGAGCTAAAATATTATTGCATGTATTTGTTTGTTTGTTTATTTTTTATAGCTTTCTATGGGCAGGCTTTAAGGGTTAGAGAACAGAATAGCAAAAAAAGCATTTTCTTATGAATAATGGCCATCTTTAAAGGAGGAGATAATAACAACAAAAAGAAATAGAGAGAATCTTTAAAAAGAACTTTCAAAATCATTTCATATGGAATATCACTTGAATGTGATTTGGCCTTAATTATTTGTTTTCTTATTCTTTTAGTCAGCGAAGGCCATCTTATTATGAAAATATTATTATTGCCAACAAGCGCAAAGTAGACAACCACTTGAAGCCAGTACATTCAAAGACATCCAGATCTAAGGTTATTATAATACATTTTTTTCTTCACTATTATTTTTTTCCAGGAGGTATGGTTGAATTATCTTCCAATTGCTTTTGTTTATGTTATAGCATAATGCATTTAATAAAACTAACAATCAAAGCTGTGCTTAAAATAAGGCCAAAATTTATTGATAAAATGTTTGATTTCTACTAAGTGAATCAAAGTGATACTTTCATGTTACATCACATGTTATTCTAGGACTTATTCCATAATGCATCTGCTTCAGTGCTTTGGGTTTAGCTTTATGATACGATATACTTATATCTGATTCAAATCTCCTAATCTTCTTTCATTTTGTTCTTACAGGAGAGTGATAATAGATGTGGAGACACTCACTGGCGCGCTGCAAACAATGGAGGCAGAAAGTCAGCTAAACTAGATGAGACCAGACTTGAGATTGCAGGTCAAATGGAATACATGTAATATTGATTATGATCAGGGCTATCACTAATATTTTAAGTTGTCAGGTAAATGGAAAGAGTGGGCAGGAAATCTGTCAGCTATTGATGATGTCTTTCGGTTCTACAGTGGCTATTTTCTTTATTTTTGTATTAAAGTAAGTGGGGGTCATGGTTATAGTAACTGTGTATAATCCCTGACCCCTGGCGCTGAATGACAGCCCTGATGCTAATGAAATAATTCTTTCACATGTAGTATTGTAATTATTATTATTGATTTTATTGTCATTATCAATGTTTTTATTGTTGCCATTTGTTATTAGTACAAGAAAAGTTGTTATTACCAGGGAAGTTGTGCTAAGTATAAACTGCAACTTCAATTAACAGGTTGTAGGCGTGGCCTAGCCCAGTGGACTGTTAACATGTTCCAAGGAGAACTATATGGCTATGCAAACTATATTCACCCAAAGAAAATGATACCAGCTGGTGTCAAGTATTGTTGGGAGGATATAGGTTGTAAGTACTGGAAGTGGGCAAGAAAGGCAGTTGGTCTTGAAGGAAGTGGCATGAAGCCTGCCCTGTCCATAATGCATGGAAAGGCTCACAATTGGATGTGTCAGGTAATAAAGTCAGGTTTGTTGAAAATAAACTCACTAAAATTAAATTTATGATTTAACACGATACCGAAATGATTGAATAGTAAATTAATATATGGTTATCAAGGTTTTGCTCTAAGAAAAAACTGAAGGGGTTCATCCTCTGAACCTGTGAAATCTAGGATAAGAAGTAAGATTTTCTAGTCACCTAGGAACAGAAGGGGCCACCAGGCACTGCTGGAGTACAGCCTTGACGATGCTGCACTGTAGTTTATGAGAAAGAAATGCAATCTCAAACCTGACTGCAAAATGTCTACAGAATATGTCACATTTTTTAGGTCTTAATATTTTAGTTAATATGACCCTAAACAATTGAATATAATTTTATTATCAGGTAATATGGGGTGGTTGTTGGCAAGATGGGAGTGCTGCCTCCACTGGTGAAGAAGTGGAGCAGATAAACTCTCATATGTCACGATGTGGAAACACAACTAAGTATATGCTTCCTGAAAGTAAGAGTTTTGTCACCCATGGTTTATTATTTGGGAATTCAACCAACCCAGACAGGCAGCAGTTTAAAAACTGAATTGGGTAGTTTCACACTTCTTCACTTTTTTCTCACCTGTTGCATGTACTCATTTTACCTATTGATTATTATATTTTGATCACTTGTTGCCATCTTAGTTGTCCAGGCACAAGCTCCCTATTAATGCATAAACATGTGAGGAACTTAACGGACTTATTCACAACAGGGTTTTCTTTCTTTTAGTTAATGCTAGGCTAATCGAGAGTAAGCCTTCAAGGAGAAAGCTGTGCAGGGTACAGCCGGCGTTTGCCTACAAGACGAGATAGAAATGTTGGTTTCCTGCATAGAGCTTATATCACAGTCAATGAACAATTTGCCTGGTATGTTGGTGCTTTTTTTCCCTTTGGCTATTGTCTATATATGGAAAATTTAGCTCAAAGGGATGCCTTTCTTTAAGCGAGTTGTTTGTCATTTTTTTTAAAAAACTTTTGTTTCTTTGTTGGTAATTTTTCATATCAAACGCAGATTCATCCAAGCAACGAATACGCCTCCGCAGTAAAATTACTGCTGAGAAGGCAAAACTAACTTCCCGTGTACAGAGGTACAATGAAAACAGACATTATGCATGTGGTAAGCATCCTTCGACATCTACTCAGTGTACTTTGTCCGAGATAATCAAAGGAAACTTCCCCTGGGGAATAATGAAGGTGAATCTGTTGTTCTGTTATAGCATTTTTTTTTTTTTCAGTCCCGTCAAGTTTATGTCCAATTTATAGCGCAAACCTCTACCGCTTAGAGTAAAGTTAGTTTTTTTTTTTTTTTTTTTCAGTCCAGTCAAGTTGATGTCCAATTTATAGCGCAAACCTCTACCGCTTAGAGTAAAGTTAGATGAAAAAGAGAATTTACAAACTCCACTTATTGCTATTGCTGTCCACGGCTGCTTCTTACTCACCTGTAACTGACAGGTGATTGTGGAATCCTGTGTTACATTATTTCTGCTCACTCTGTGTGATGTTGCTACGCCGTGCTGACGAGGCCCAAAAAGACCGAAACAGCAAAACGTCACATCGTCCTTATAAATTATAGGTTTCCTTTTCTCATTTCTTCGTAATAATAGAAATGGTAAATGGCATTTGCATATTTTTGTTTGGAATTTGTTACCTTTATTTTAGATACACCAATCCGAATAAAAAGAATGATCGTCGAAAAGCATGAGATCATGAAGAGGTGGGAAGAGGAAGTCTCGCTTCTCAAGAAGGAGATGGTTAACTTCATTTCGTGGTACATGGATGTCGAAATTCCGCGACTCAAAAAATGTCGCAGAGGGGATGCAAGCGAAAATTGATGGTCAATGACAAGTTACTTCCTTATATGTTGCTTTTTGAACCATTTCGTTGGAAATCAGCAGATATTTTTTATTCCTTATCGATTTTTCTATCTCCGTGTCTTTTTCTCTTAAGATCGTATGACATGCTTTCCTGATAGATGTGACCACGAGCCCCCAATAGACGCCATCCCAATGGAAGCATCTCTGGAATCAGATGTACGTCTTATGAGGGCATACTGTGTTTGTAATTTCACTAGTCAAGGGTTTTTCCATTCGTTAACTTGAACGTGACGCTAAAAGCAGGTTAATTCATCGATGAATTAGGAAGGTTTAAATTTCCGTTCTGTCGGTAACTTGGAAATACTTGGTACGGCAGCAGTTGGGGCATTTAGGAGAAAAAGCAAAATCAGTAAATGACCATATCCTCCAGGCCCCGGTTGTTCAAACGTTGGATAGCGCTATCCACCGGATAAATAGTAATATCATGCTCAACCTCATCAAATAATTGTTTATAAATCACTATCCAGCGGATAAGTATTAGGGAAACTAATTGCACTATCCACTGGTTAGACATTTATCCGGTGGATAGCGCTATCCATATTTTGAACAACCGAGGCCAGCACACTACAAAAAGTTGCGACTAAACTTCCATCCCTCTTTCTCCATGCCGGGTGATCGAACAGAAAAGTGGATGGGGTTGTCTTTCCAGCTAATTCGATCTTAAACAAGCAAAAGAAAACGTAGGCGTTTCTGGTGAAATACGAACTGGGGAAAGCGTATATTTTTCTTTCAGTGTTTTATAAACATTTGTATCACTAGACCATTTTTCCTTTCTCGCGAGCTGGGTTTTTATACTCTTTTTACCTAGGCAATGATGGGGCGGTACAAAACGGAGGCGGAAGACATCGCAGTTATCAGTGGAAAATTGGCCTGTGCTAAAAAAGGGATCGCTTTTTGCCAAGGCCAACTAACCAGTGCTGCCTCAACATTTAAAGTGGCTTTAGTTGGTAGTAGCTGCGAGGAATCACGAAAGATTATAGATTTGGAAGGCGATTCTGTCGACGATGCTAATGAAGATGGCAGCGGATGATAGCGAGAACGAAGACTCGCCAGTGGTTCCTGACAATGTGCCTGACGATAAGGCTGAAACCGACGAAATAGACGACGTCGGGGAAAACATCCCGCAAAGTAACATGGTTCTATGGAAATTTCCTTCAGCCAGTCAACACTAGACGGCCACAACGGGAGTTCGGCTTGCAGTGTCATTGCTCTCATCTTTGCTCATGTCGCAAAGCGTGAGCTTCTTGACTTCCAACCAACGTCTTTGCTGTCTCCTGTATGGGTTATGCTTCTTTGTTCGGCTATCAGAGTTGGTAATAAGCTTTACGATCTCTGTCGCCACAGCTTACCCCAGCGCCTTTTGTCTGCATTAGAAGCAGCCACCATTGTACAGCGATGCGTCAGTGTTTCTGTCGACGCCCCTTTACCTGTATACGTGTTTATGACGATCACGCTCCCACGACACTGCTCTTTCAGTTGA